CCCCACGAACATGTAAGCAGGAAGAACGCGCATGGATTCTGATATTGTCAGATCAGTTTCAGGTCTCATTCATGTGTAAAAATAAATCTGGTATGAATCAGATAAGTGCATTTGCGTCTGCCATGTAAGTGGACAGATTGGGTATTCCCCTGTCAATGTGAGTTGTACATCATTGAAAAAGCGACGGTGGTTAAAAGTGTTGCCAAGTCTGTGGTTTTCTAGTGGAATTGGGCTACTTTTACACTGTTGCCGGGTTGTTTTTTAGTGCACGATTTAAAGTGATCCCTTTCCCCTCAGGTATTTCGGAGGGGGACCCCTGCTAGAGGGGAAAACTGCGTACAAATGTTTTGAATAGCCATTTTGCTGGTTCTGTTTCGCAGACCTGGCAACCTGTCAGTTTGTCTACCCTGGGTTGTTTTACCAAGTGTATAGTGTAAATGCCAAGTTCTGTCATGAAACTCTTGATGGCACAGGGTCCTTAACGCACACTGATGATATTCCCAGCATTAAACTTCGCACAAGCTGATTGGTTCATGTTGCATACGCAGCCAATGAACTTGCTGCTTTACATTTAAATGGCTGGTTAGCATTCACTGAGCAGTTTGCAGCACACTTTTAGAGTTCCTCTGAAACCCTCCACTTTCCCCAGCTACACCTGTATAGATCTGTATAGAGCATAACACTATTTCATTTCATTTAGTTATGAAAAACACTGTATAGACATTAAAAATAATAAAAATGACAAAAATACACAGAAGAATTACTAAAACTTTAACTAAAATTTAAAATTAAAACAAAAAATATCAAAACAAAACCATTTTATTTGATTTTGATGTTTAATGAATATGTATTTATCAACAAATCTGAGATTTAAATCGGAGATGTTGAGATAAACAGGGTTGAGGTATCATGGTTGCAAAAATAAACAAAATATAAAATAAAACTGCTCATGTAATATTTAGTTTGACCTACTGGACTGGATAATGACTCATTTTTTAAAGGTTAGGCACTTCATGTCACAGACTATTGCTAAAAAACAAATACAATTTTTTTTTAAACTGTTCTTTTAAAAAAAAATAAAGACACTATTTTACACTCTATTCATGGAAAGGAGGATTCCTGAAGATGTGCTGCACATGACTATATTTTCCTAGAAGCAGGGTTGTAAAGTTCTTTCTGGCATGAAGGGTTTGGTTTAAATGTGCTCCCATGCTCCAGTTTCCCTCCCAGCTGTTCCTCTGTGTGTCATGTGGTGATTTGTCAAGCCATGGGAATGGCTGGACAGTGGACACACTCTCCTTTATTGAGCCAGATGATCCTCACAGAGCTTAAGTTTAGTGCATTGTGATCTTGTGATTTTGATCTTTAATGTTACTACAGTATTCTATAATGCATACTATATACAGTGCATAAATAATTTTAAGTTATCATAATTAGTTAAATGATTCTGTATTTTTTTATATAATCATTGTTAAATTATTTAATCTTAATAATAATAACATTCCTGCATCTGGTTGGATTTTGAAGGCAGCATAGATATTTCCATCTGGCGCATTGATGCAGGCTCATTTCATGAATGATCCTGCTGTTTACTCTACTTGACGTACAGTGCATGTAATGTGGCTAAATAGTCCACACTCTGGCCATGAATGAAGTCTAGAGTCCAGCAGAGTGCTTTTAGGTGAGGGCTGCAGCGGCTCTGTGGATGCGATCCCTCTGGCTATAATTATCTTCCAACCTGGTCTCATGGCAAAAACGTACCCGGGGGCACATTTTCGCGAGACGCGAAATACGTACCAATCTTCACTTTTGCAATTGATTATCCTTCCCAAAGACCCGCCCGCAGCCCTTCCTGCTTTTAGAAAAGAGGAAGCATTGACTGCTGTACCGCAGCAAATTACAAATGAGGCCGCCACAGTGGAACAGGCCATTGAATTTAACCCCTGCATCACACTAGCTTGCTATAAACCTCTCATATCTGAGTCTGTCCCGCTCCATGCCAGTGATTTCAAATGTGTGACACCTTTATAGGGCATTTAGATGATATATATATCACTTGTAATCCACTGAATTGATTTTCTCACTTTATTTTTTTGAATGACCCTTTTGTTTGCATCTTATTTTCAGAATGAGTTTGTTCATCAATTGTTGAATAACCACAAGTGTGGTCTTTTTCATATCTCAATTGTTTCTCCTAGACAGTAATGTGATGATTACAATACGCTTACAGGGTTATTTTATTTTATTTTAATGTTTATGAAATATAAATTCATCTAATTTTAAAATGAATAATTTTACTCATTGTCTCAAAATTCTCCTAGACAGCAATGTGATTACAGTGCCATTACAGGGCAGATAAAATGCATTAAAAAATAAAATAAAATAAAATAAAATAACATACAAATTTGGATATTTCTTGAACATAGATGTATATTCAGTAAAAACTACATTTGTTTGCATTTTTTAAATAATTTATTAGTTTATTAATTGTTGAATAACACAAATGAGATCTCTTTCAATGTCAGGCCCCTCATCTTTTTATTTTTTGTAATGAAAAGAAATAGATTTCAATATGAGCTCAACATTTGTGCAGTGGTGGACGAAGTACACAAATCAAGTACTTGAGTAAAAGTACAGATACGTATAATAAAATATTACTCCAGTAAAAGTAAAAGTACTCCTTTTTCAATTTTACTCGAGTGAAAGTACAAAAGTACTCGATTTTTTATGTACTTAAGTAAAAAAAAGTACTGATAGATAGATTTATTTTGCAATTTTAAAGGCTACTTAATTTAATTTTATATTAGCACATATTTTTTATAATCCTACTTCTCAAAATACCTGGAATTTTCCCAAAATAACCACTATATGGAGTCAAGATATATTTTTGTTGTTGTTATGGACTACGTTGACGAGAGTGATGTAGTAATGTTTACTGTGAAGCTTACACTGTGATGTACCTGAGAGAAAACAGATTTAACCATCTGATTTTCACCAGTAAGAAAAAAGTGTTTTAAAGCTTGTTGTTTTGCAGAACATCACAGTTATATATGACATCAGAATAAGGCCTGGAGTTAGGAAGAACATTTTAAGGAAAATATAATTATATTTTCATAATGATTTTTTTTCTTCTCAAACCTTGTCTGTGGTGTAAAAGCACCCCTGGCTAAATGCCCCCAGAGGGCATCACTTCCCAGTTTGATAATTACTGTAGTTACCATGTTCTGAACATCACATCCTTTCTTTTCCCTCAGATGTAATCTATCTATTTTCAGTATGGTTATGATGAATAAACATTCATATCTGTCTACTCGGCTAGTTAATCCAAACAATATAAAAATTTATACTGTTGATAAACAATATAAAAACAGACGTCACATAGGGCCAAATGCGTAGCATTTTAATAAAACTGTTAAAGTTACGGCAGCGGGGAGTATGAACGCGCATTAATTATTTTATTTAGTCTGTGTTATTTTAATGTTTC